ACGTGCAGCTTCATATTAAATCATTCAGGCAAAGCCAGCAAGCAAACCTCCTAGGGGGTAAAGAATTATTAGTATGTAAAAAGGTGTGGGCTTAGCCCAGATGGTCCCATCAGGTGGGCGCATACCTCTTGATAGGTGTTATTTGACCTTGTATGCCAAAGGAGTGTGTTAATATGAATAAGTCTTGTGGACAAGAAATCTCTTTGAAGTAATGTTAATGCACGTTAACTGGAAAGAAATCTAAAAGGTGTCTATTGAGGCTTCCCAAGGGCTATTTAAATATTAAGTGCCATGTTAAATTGAGAAGAAACACCTCAGCAACAGAACTGCTGCAACAGGAAAAAGCCCGTGTCTTTTCATTGATCAAAGAGAATACAATTACTAAAAAACTAAGAATAAACCTTGCATTAACACAGAAAGTGAATTTCTGATATGAATACCACAGACACTGGCCTCTAAGAAACATCCGGTGTCTTTGAGAGATGATGTGGTTTTTTTACACCAGCACTTATCCTATTTCATTATCTCTTCCCCTTAGATGAGCCCAAGTAGAGAGAAGAAAGATGTAAAAAAATTGCTCTCCTTGCTAGCACCCCTACGAGGGCCAAGAATAAATGTAGCTCTTAAGATTACTTATACTTGAGACTGTACAGAGCACAGTTAAAATGGCAAAGAGCAATACCTGTATCATCAGATGACTCATAGCTAACTCTGTTTGGTAAAACAGAATTCTCCTGTGAGAAGTGGAGCCTTTCAAAATTGTAGTAATTGGTAACCGTGCCACAGATTAAAGTACTACAGTAATTTTTGGATGGGGTAGCAGATAGAGTGCAAAAGAGGCTGTGAAATGTGCACTGAGTGCAATTTGTCAGGTACATACTGCTATGTGTAGCAGACGTAGTAAATACTGCATCTTTGTTATGTATGAACAAACTTGGACTTCCCAAAGTTACAACTCAACTAGGACTACAAGCCTAAAAATGGAAATTGGGTTGTAACTAGAGACATTGGATCACAAGCAGAAGTTTACAAAAGCAAAAAGACAAAGGCAAATTGTTAAGCTGATTGGAATTTCACAAGATTGACATTGTTGCTTAAAGTGCTTGGTTGATTAAATTTAAAAAAATCAAAGTACATAAAAATTAAAATAAAATTAATAATACTAACTACATAAGTTATTATCCAAATACAATAGCAGAGCAACAAAAGAGAAATAAATTAAACTGAATGCTGATAAAAGGTACTAGTGTAGAATGGATACACAGCCCAAACTTCTTACAATTTCTAGTACGCATTCAACTATAAGATACTGCTCATGCTTTTCAGCCACAAGCAGCAAAAAAGAGATGAAACAAGAAGGGTCTGCTACTGAATAGCATCAAATCACTGGCAGCTGCATGGTGTCACATCAGGTCCCAAGTACATGATGCTGTAACAGATGGATGAATGAAATGTAATGCCTGGAGCTAAAAGACAGGTTGTGGCAGCACTTTAGGACCCACTATGTAAAATGAATTTCAGTTTCATCTTCGTTAGGTCTTTAATGTCTTTATTAAATCTAGTGTGAACTAAACACCTACTGCTAGAGGAACAGGACTTTTAAGATGTAATCAACTGCTCTGTGGTAACTGTAAATTACTAAAATAAAACTGACAGGAGTCAGTTTGGGACTTAATTTTAACAAAGTGTTCTGCTTCACTGGTATAGTTTTTCCATCAACCCCCTCTTGTGCCTCCCTATGCTATGTCCCAGAAATATAAATTACATAAAATCCTGACAGCCTGTTCTACGAAACATAGTAAGTCAAGGTCTGAGCTCAACCTCTAAGATAATGATTCATCAGCACTGCAGTGCTTCATTGGGTTCAGTGCAAAACCAGCACAGGACAAAAGTGTTATTTTTTCTAAGTACATAGTAATAAGATTTATAAATGGACAATGCATCTCAGCAACAGTGTGTGAAACAAGTAGAAAACTTCAGCTGTCACTAGGCCTAATATACTCAAAACATGACACCATAAAAATAGTTATTTTAGGGAAGCACAGAATACTATTAGACATCTGTGTTTCAATTTTGTTTTCTAGCTGCTGCTGGCTGAAAGGTTCTTATTATCCTAGATATTGTTACATTCTTTCATAAGAGACCATAATCTATACATAAGCATAAAAGAAAAAGGATATTTTATTTAATCAGCTAAAATACTTTGCATCATATGACTGTTTTTGTGAAGATCCCAATCCTGCAAAATTCATGTAAATGTGCTTAACTCTTCTGTGTCAAATTCTGCTGCCTAGATGTGCACTGTTCATACAGCTCTGTGGACAGCTTTTTCTGGAGTCAAGACATTCAGCACACTGTAGACTGGATATGATTTATAGAAATGTAATTGTAATTTTATTTTTTTTTAATTTTTAAAGAAACTGCTCCTTAGTTTAGCTGGTGTTAGCATAAAGTGAGTATGCTTCAATTTATCAGAGCTGATGTTAGACCACTAATGTCAGACTGGTGTGGTACCAGTGCTGTGATCTTTTCATGGGCTAGCATGAATTTAAAATGTTTTTTCATACTTTATAAAAAGGCTTATACCAGTAATTTTACTATCAATAACATATTAAAATTATCTGTAAGTTTTACAACCTAGAACTGTCTTGCAGCTGGAGAAAGCCAAAGATTATTATCCTGTACTTTAGCATTTAAATATTAATTCATATTATTAATGTTTAAAATAATTTTCAGATAAGTCAATTGAAATATGGAAAATATTTCCTAAAATTTAACTGATTTGGACTTATTTTAATGCAAAATTACTTTTCATACAAACATGAGCCTTAAACATTCAAATGGTACATTAAGAATATCTTTTTTTTTTGCTTGTTTTGAAATTGAAGAATGCCTTAAGAACGTTCAGCAGTAAACTGTGAAGGACAGACCCTTGGATGAGCACTGGTTGATATAGAAAGTGCCTTCATTCACAACCAGGAAACCTTAACCATTTTAAAAAGCAAGTGATTATTCTATTTTTATATGTAAATTCTGAATGCTTATAAATAAATCCATTAAAGAGAGATTTGCAAGATTAGGTTTTCAGTGGAAAAGCTCCTGGGCCTCAGTGAGAGCTGAAATTTCCTGTAAGATGTCTGTCTTTTGTGTTAGGGACAGAACATTTCATTCTCAAGTCAATAAAAGAACTAGAGCTACATCACAGTTATGCTTGTCTTGATCCTGCACACCAATCTTCCTTAATGCGAGTGATCTCCATAGACCACTACTGTTACCTAAGTTCTCTGAGGTTACATCCTATGTCTGTTTTCTTGTATGCGTATAACAACATGATAAATCATAAATAACATTAGATGAAAAGTCCACTTCTGACTTTCCTTCAGTGTAAAGTGCTACATTTCCTTAGTTTACAAAATTGCCATTGATAAATCCAACTGAACTTCAATTGATGCTACAGTAGAAGCTAGTACTTAATTTTCACCACTATTTAACAAAAGATATTTCACATTCACAGTAGATTACAATGAAAAAAGTTATTATCTTTCCTACACAAGACTAAAATACAAGATTTTGCTGCACTTCAAAAGCCATTTCTTGAAATGGAGAGTCAGCCATAAAATGGCAGGCAGGCTACTTAAAGAAAAGAAGGACCAAAAGCAATATTGTCTAATAAATACTTTAAAAGAATGAAATATAATAAGTAAAAACAACTTTTGTGAGATGAGAATATTTCCTTGTAAATACTAAAACCAACTCTTAGTCCCCCTGAAGAGAACAAGAGTGCTTTCACTGTTGAATTCACTGGAATAGGCATTTGGCTACTGATGTTCAAGAATTTTATAATAGAGTGAGAGTGTCAAACCAAACAAGCTAGTTATCCAGTGTTGCCACTGCCTCAACCTGCTGTCAATCCCTTCTCATACTCTATTGATACTTTCTTCTACATTCATTCTTTGCCAAATTCCAGTAAGTGTGTTCAGCAATTTTAGTAGTCAGTGCATGACTACTGCCAGTCAAATTCACCCAGTAAAATCACAAACGAAGCCTTTTTCACTAAGCCTTTTGATGTTTTAAAAATCAGACACTCCAGAGCCCTGTTTCTGTGACGATTCAAATGCTGTCAAACATGGCCAAAAACATGACTGTGTGTAAATTAATGGTTGTTATGTTGCTAAGAAATGGACTCTGTCTTGAGAAATTAAAATGGGACCTACAGATATTCAGAAAATTGCAGGATCAAGCCCTGTCACACGTATTGTAGGAACAACACTTATTTAAATGGACTGTAATTTGATGGATATGTTATACGTTGCAATCTCTGCAAACTCAATTAAGTAAACAACCTATGACATAGTTTTAACAGAAAGATAAACTCAATGTCTATAAATGTAATTTATCTCTGTGTCACAAATGTTATCTTGCTCCCTTTATTCCAGTGCTTTGTAGGTTCTGAAATCTCACCTCATCTGTACTCTCTCATGATAAACAAAGTGACAGGACATACAGAATTACTTAGTTCCACTGTAATTTAAATCCCCCTATGTGAATTTTAGGCCTGAGGTTATGCACTGGAAGTTTTTAACAACCCAAAGCTTAAATGGTTATGGAAGAACATATTTTTTGCAGCATAGAGTAACATGTAAAAAAATCCCCTATGCAAACCACAATTCCAATAATCATGAAACAGATTTTTTTCCTTACACTTAAAATGGTTACGTACATGTCAGGATGTATTTAAAGGAATGCATTGTAAATCAACATACCACAAAGCCATTTAGAAAGTTTTAAACAATTTTGCCCTAAATGCAATGAACACTTTCGTTTAAAATACTACTCCAGCTGGATTGGGTTTAACAGTTGACATCCAGATCTTATTATCTGTAAATGTTAGTCCATATAAATTCCACTAAAATCTGACTGCAATTAACTCTTCAATCAGACTTAAAAACTACAAACACCCCCCCCCCAAAGTTCTGTGTGTCAAAAAATGGATGGTTATAGTCAATACCATATAGACCAGTTAATAGGAGACAGAGTGTATCGTTGTTCAACCATACAAGATGTGGTCTGTGTAAAAGTCAGTTCAGAGAAGCTATCACCTTCTTTTGCATTCAGCATTGTTGTATGCAATTGTCACAGTTTGCCAAGTCACTCTCTTGACTGATAGAATAAAATATAGCCAGACTCTGAATTTTTTGATATATCAGAGGTCAGACCATAGAATTCTTCAATAGCTTGGGCATCTATTTTCTGCAAAATAAATAAAACTGTTTAATGTGCTGTTAGGTAAAAGAAATACCAAACATGGATTAAATAACTGTACAAACACAAAAGACATTCAGTTATTTGTTTCAGGGTAGCAATTAGCAAATTCTGTTTGCAATTTAAGCACTGAAGGAGTAATGTTCAGGGGCTAAACCCTACTGGTCTCACTCATGGAAGTCAATAGGAATGTTTGTCTCAGAGAACCTCACTGATTTAGGCTGTTTCCAATAACAGATTCCTTGGAAAGCAGTAATGAACACTGTTAAAGTACCTAAATGTGACCATGTGACCCCACCTTTCTGAAATTTCCAGAAACCCTCTTCAAGACATAGCGCATGCAATGCCCCAGTGCTTACTTTCCTCCACTGGATTTACTTCAAGGAAAACAGACTCAAGACCCCAGTTTTGCCAAGGTCCCACAGTGACATGAAGGGTTTGCTTAGAAATCAATTGCAGTATGCTTAGATAGAATCTGCAATAGCTGTGGGCCAAATCCTGCTCTAATTTACATCCAGACAAACACAGACCAACTACAGAATACAGACTTTCTTGTAACTTCCCAGTTGTTGAAAATTAAAGTTCTAGAGCAACACTAACCTGTCCAATTTTGTCAAGGGATACTGCCAAGGATTGCAAAATAGTTTCTGGATATTTTAGGTTTTGATTAATTAAATTTATTTTATTAGATATAAATAAATGTTCCATAAATAATTAAAACATTCCAAATTAAACCCTTGAAGTCTGATATTAAAAACATTTGATGTTGCTCTGAAATAAAGCAACCCCCTCTGACATTGCCAGAGTAAGAACTTACAGGATTAATAATTTTGTTAGCAATTTTAGCTCCTAACAGAGTTGAGCTAAAGGTCACATTACAACTGAACTGTGGCTTTGCAGACTAGTAATCTATACCCAGATCTGGATCAGAATTTTAACCCCAAACAGAGAAGAGAACATAAACACAAATGTTATGCTCATGACTTTCAGCATACTGACCTCTACAATGTCATCATCAAACAAGAGCCAAAATCCATGACTTTTCACAATAGTAATATAATGCCCCCGATTTGGTCCACTAGAAAGCAAAATAAAACCAGAAACCCTGACATATTAGAAGACACTGCTGAGTCCATTTTGATAAGTCACATTTCTATATGCAAGCAGACTGAATTATAACTAAACGTCATGAAAAACATAGTAAACCCACCCCTGGTGGTACAGTAGACATGTACTCGTCTCACCTTTTCACCAACTTGTTGCAAAGACTTCATCAACTGAAAGCTAAATGTGTAGTTTTCATCCGTGCCATGACCATTTGCAAATCAACCTATAGAACACCTAATACTTGCTCATGGCAGGCATCAACTATTGCATATATTTTAAAAACATTATGAACTAAATTTAAGAGGGAAAATAGTTTGGTATCAACTGTGAATATTTAGTTACACAGTCTTTGAAAAGAGTGAGAACAAATTGTATTCCTAGAGTCCCCAGGACTTCTTTGTTTGTTTCATATTTGACAACATCTCATATGCGAGAAGTTTTACTAAAGCTATCATTGTCACTGCTGCGACAGGAGACCAAGGTGATCTGCTGTAGGGCCTCTATGCTAGCACTGCCTGGCCCTCCCAGAGTCCTGGCTCCCAAGCTCTCTAAGTAGACTAATGAGGAAGGAGACAGCTCCATTAATTTAAGACAATCTTGTGGCTCTTGGAGGCCTGAGACATTATTTTTTGAACTAGTATAGATTTACTATGAGGAATGGTGACTAAGAGGTTCAGGCCAAGATGCAGGCAAGTTGGTGCAGCAGCAGGGTTTATGTCCTCCCTCGCCCTCTCCCCATGTTTTGTCAGGCATACCTCTGCCTTTGGCAAATGTCTGGCAATAGCTTGAGACATACGTGAAAGTATCTTACCTTCCACAGTGAACAACAACAGCTACCAAGTCATACATCCGATCTAAGTTGACGGCATCGCCAGATGTGTTGAAGAGACGTAACTCCAGAGGAAATACTACACGGTAAGACAGTTTTGTATACCTGTGCAATTGCTCCATATACTTGAATCTCTTGAGGTGTAAGGCAAGAATCATTGGCAGCTTTTTTACTCTCATCCTGTGAAAGCATTAGAGTGCATGTGATAAAGTGCATATGACCAGTTCAAAGCCATTCTGTCTTTCCTTAATGAGTAAATGTTTGCATTATAAAAGCACGTTGTAACAGTAGTCAACTAGCAGTAGCTTCTAGACTAAGAGACCTGTAATAGTGTTGAATGTCTGTAGGTTCTCTGGCCCACACAGAGAATGCAGTTGGGGTGTAGTTGCTGATCTAGGTGTTCCTGCTCCGGCAGGGGGATTGGACTAGGTGATCTTTCGAGCTCCCTTCCAATCTCTAATATTCTGTGATTCTGTAAGGCTTCTAGGTATCTAAACACAGTAAATATCAAGGAAGAAGTCTGTCAAAGCCCAGGAGGGACATGGTGAAATAGTCTGCTTTTTGCTTACCTTTTCTGTGCCTCTTGTTTGCTGCAGCAAGTTTCACAGTAGTATTTCTGTTCACTACATAATGTCTCTGTGTTACTGAAGTCTCTGTAAACAAATACAATTATCGGTTCTTAAAGGATCTTAACACTTTTGCTGATGATCTGGAACCCTAAAAAGACATACAGGATTAAATCCTCTCTCCAGTGAGTCCAGATTTCTAAAATATCTAAAGCAACTGTACTGGGGCTTGCAAAGTGACTTAAGGTATCTGTCTGCTGTGACAGCCCTGTATTAGGAGCTGAGGCTCTCCATACGATACAGGGGGAGGGTCAGGTATCTCAAAATGGGACTTAAATCCTGGTCTCTTATATGTTAAGGGGCTGCCTAGACTTGGGTGTAGTCATCAAATTATTCAGCCCCTTTTAAAATTGTTTGCAGAATGCAACAGCTTCAAGTGCGCTGCTGCCATCCTGAAATAGCTCACATTTTATGGTGTTCCATTGTAAATAGGTTTGAACCCTTTTATACAGAAAAAATAATCTGAAGTCAGCCTTCTGCATCCTCTAATCTCTTGAACTGTCATCCAGAAGTCATTTGATGATACCTTCTTGTTGTCTAAAAAGGAAGGTGTCAGCTAGTATAGAAGATTTTGCAAATCCTGATCAAGCAAATACACTTGGAAATGTTGCTGGATTGAGCTTTTGAAGTGAGAGAGGCAGAGGAAGGCTGGTTTGATAATGCCTCTCAGTTCACACAAAAATTTGTCAGAAGTCACAGTGCTGATATGCTTTGGAGCAGAATTTTAGGTACCTAAAAAAACTTCCCTGTAAAAAAGAAAAAGACAGTAATTTTTTTCCCCTCTAGTGTTACACTGCAGCTGAGCAGGTGTTTTGAGAACTTTAAATGCAGACATAAACACCTACCTTCCAGTTTAAGCACACAGGTTTTCTTGTGACTTTGGGCCTTAAATAGATATATCTGAAGTACAGAATTGTCCTGTTGATTGCACCTGTATTGTACCTAATAGACTTCTGAACTCCAGACAAATTCAGACCAAATAAAATCCATTTTAACATTTCAGTCCACATGGATGGAGGCCGAAGCCACACTGTCTGCAAGTTCAGCCTGCTCTCACAGTAGGCAGCACCAGAATCATCTTACAAAGGCAAAGGGAGGATTCTGGATGATTATTTCTTCCTGGCATCATCATCAGAGGGGTAGATGGGAGAGCTGAAGACTATCTAAATTGCCAGGGCATAGGTATTAGAAGTTATTTACATAGCTTCATAAAAGGAGAGGATTTTCCATTTTCAAGTTTTAAGTTCTGTAAGGTTGACAGAGCACGACAAAGAGGCACTTCATATGATTGAATAATATTTATACTAGTTGAGAATGCTTTTACTAGGTTTTTTTCTTTATATGGTCTCACACAATTTGATCAGAATGTGCTGAAATTTAGGACAAAATGCATCTTTTGAAAGATAAGTAGCAACAAAACTTTGATTATGTACATTTTTTTTTCTAAAATAAAAATAAAGCATGGTCACTGGAAAGATTTGCTTCAGTGGTAAACATGGATCTCAAATATCTCATTTCACATTTGAGTTTCAAGACAAAATTAACATAATTCAGCCAGTTCCTCTGAAAAACACAGTAACCTTTCAGGGAATCATAACTGAAGAGATGAAACTTTAGAAAAGATTAGAGATGGGTTATATGTGTGGGGAACACAATGCTGCAAGATTCAGTGGAATGTGCTTGTGTATGTTTTAGGTCTTCTAACAAGGAAAAAGTCCGATGTTTATTTTCAAAGCCCAAAATCTCTATTTAAAAAAAAAAAAACCTTGTGAAATTTATTAGTTTCCTTCCCCACCTCGAAGCAAAGCAACGGAAATAATATTTTTCTAATATATAGAAACTTGTACAGGTGACAGAAATTTGATAGATATCTATTTGTTCTATGCCAAGCCTCACATGAAAATGAATTAAACAAAGAGTTTATGAATTCCTTTTAAAATGCGTTAATCATTCTGAAACCAAAAATATCTAACATTTTAAATGGTAAGTTGACTGCTATGAGAATTACATCTGTGAAAGCTGGACAAATATGCAGTTACATGTCCCTTAGCAATTGTTCTTTTGTCTTTTCTTTCCACCTGACAGGCTATTACCCTCTTCTACCAAAGCAGGTGAAGCAGTCACAGAATTTAGAGGCACTACTAATTCACTTATTCAGCACATACTAATTCCTTTTTCTGTAACAGGAACCAAACTGGTGGCATATTTATAAACAATAACTCTTTCCTTGGGGGAAGGGAGGTATGCCAGTGACAAATGCTTTGGCTGCCCTTTACGACTGCAACTTCAGTACCTGTTTCATCGATCAAGGACTTCCAGCGTGACACTTCTAATAGATGTTGAACAGTTAAAAACAACGTATCAGTGACTGGAGTTCACACAAAGTCTGCATGTACAAGAACTATAGGCTTGAGGATTTTTTCTGTATACCTGCAGAATGAGTTTCAAGACACTTGTAACTCTTTCCTATTCCATTAACAGGCCAAACTGCATTCTGTTTATATGGCATTTTAGCAGGGGAAAGGAATTTTTAAGTACACCTGCTCAAGATATACTAATTTATCATTGACCTCATGTGCTCCCACAGTGTGTCTCCCTACATGCTATATGCTACAACATGAAATATGCTTTCTATTGTTCATATGCATAAATAATACAAATTTATTATTTTAAGAGATGAGAGAATTCTTAGTGGAATAAAAAAAGCACAGGTAGACTAGTTAAAAGTCAGGATCAAATGGACTGGTAAACTTTGCAACTCCTAATGAGAATAAAAATAATGGATATGTACTTGTCATTAGACTTTTATTGCTTTAGGCCCATTATCTTCCCTGTGGAGTTAAGCTGTGCCAGAGGCTTATATTCTTTGGATCTCTTATGTACACAGGGACCTCTTCAATTTGAAAAGCTACACAAATAACTCAAAAGAACATTCATATGTAGTGGCAAGCAAATTCATTCTAGTTAAATGGTATTTTGCAGTTTTTCTTTAATTTTCATTTCAATGCAGTGGCATTTAAAGCTGTAAAGATGCAGCAAAGCAGTTGTTAAAAAAAAGAGACAGAAAAGTTTCTGAAAGAGTAATAACTTCGCCATTCCTATTAACAGAAAACACAAAAACAGTTACACTTCATTTAATAATGCATACCATAGACCAATGAGAGGAAATCCATGTTCTAACTGGATATATGCTTTCCAAACAGACGTAGGCACATTGCTAGTGTAAAAGACAATCAGAATAGATGATAGGTGATGATTCTCTTCCTGTTTAATCTGTAAATAGCAACCTGCACTCCCCATCCCAAGAAAAGAAAAACTGAGATTTTGCTTCCTTTTATTTCCAAAAGAAACAACGGCTGGACTTCAAAGTGCATGTCATGCTGTTGGAGTAAAGGCAGATACTATACTGGGATGTACAAACAAACTTTTAGGGCATCTGCTCTTCTCAGGATTGTGTACATGTCCGCTGGAATATTTGCTAATTTTAGGCAACTGCACTTCAAGAGTTCAAAAGTTCAAGAGAGAGGTTCAACTGGAGAGAAGGCCAAAGAGTAATGAATGTGAGCAGAGATCTAGAGAAGATGGCCTGTGAAGGAAAGGCTGAATGACCTTAGGCTGTTTAATTTAAAAAGAAAGTGAGGACATTCTACCTGTAAGTAAAAGGCTGCTGCTAAGAGGAAAAAGAGCAACCCCTATTTTATATCCAGAGTACACAGGGCAAGTAGAAATGGGCTTAAACTGAAACAACGACAATTCATGTTAGACAGCAGGAAAAAACTTGTTAGTAGTAAGAACAGGAATGACTGGGATAGGCAATTGAGCTACTACTGCTAAAAGATATTTAGGAACAGGTTGGACAAGCATCCTGTCTGAGGTGGAGACAGGGGCTAACCTCCTGGCAACCCTTTCAATTCCACCATTCACCTGTTCATTGCAGTAGTTCAGATGTAGTTCAGTGTAGATGCAAGGCAGTGGCTCTTCACTAGTAGAAATACTACTGGTACTTTCACTGAAGTACTCTGTGCCTTTGCCTCAAAAGACCTTTCCAAACAAAACATTTCCAGGAACCTTAACTACTAAGAAATTAAACTTAAAAAATGGAGAAAGCTGAAGGACGGATGGTAACTTGTGTACAGCAGCAGTTTCTAACAATTTCATCAGACTAAGCTGTAAGAAAAAGGTGGTCTCCAGTAACTGTATGTCACAGAACCAAATAACAACTCAGGTTAGAAAGGACCTCAGAAGATGAACACTTCAGCCTCCTTGCAAGTCAATGTGATTTCAAATTGACTTTGAACACCCTAGGGAAAGGTAAGTAATGCTGACACAAACAAATGCAAAGTAGCGGCTACTTTGAAGAACATAAAAATGTGCTAACTGTAGCCTGCAGTACCAATACTGGTTCAATTATCGGTGACCATGAACAGAAAAAGAGACAAAGGGGCAAAAAGAAAATTTTGCTCTCCTTTCTAAAAACTGCTCCTCAGTTTGCTCACCTTTTAAAAAGACACTAGTTACTGCAGCGTGAACTACTTGAGGGCTAAGGACTGCTACAGTAACCTCCAGGTGACTGAACAGAAATTGAGAAGGAAAAACACTATCTGGATCTAGCACTTTAAAATGTAACAGTTTTTACTTAGTACAGTTGTGGTATCCACAGAGAAATCACTTTTTTCTGACTCAAGAAAGGGTTAGTACCTCACGTGCTTTCTCTGTATCTCTCAATTTGGGGTGAGACACCAGGCAACCCTTACTAGGCAACCCTTACTAGGCATTCCAGAATAACTGTTAAATGCAATTTCAAAGTTGGTAGCAATTCTGGAGCTTGCAAGAGTAATTTGACTGTTTGATAATCTTCACCTTACAGCAGCAACATATTGTCTTAAATCTAGGCATTGGTTTACTGTAACAATGCCAAAACTGGATATTTTAACTTCTCATAATCATCCATGTAAGTCTGAAAATTATTTTAATTTCTGAAGTATTTGTTTAATAGTTAAGAGTGCGCTAGGAGCAGAACTGAAACTTAGAATAAAAGACTTTTCCCTATAGTTTGAGGATGAGACACAGAATAAGAAACTTATATGTCAGAAAAGTAGATTTTTGAAATCGTTTGCCCGCTAGGGACTCATTCTGCAAAGCATACACTTAATTTTTAATATGGATGTAAGTCTTAATAAAAAAACCCCCACTTGAGTAGAAGCTTAAAGATAAGCATACTTAAATCCCTTTGAAGCCAATTATTATTCTGCAGCAATTCTTCTAGATGACAAGACAATCAATTATTTTCCCCATGAGATTATTTTTTTCCTCTTTCAAACACACACAATGAAAGAGAAAGTAAGCAAACCAAAATACACTAATGTATACTTTGTCATTAGAAGAAACATCCAGTTTACAGTCTTTTTCATCTGCTTAGGAAAAGCTTAAAACCCAGTATTATTCTACTTCTCATTTCTGTACCTGCTAAACTTGGAAAATTTAGCAAAGTCAGAAAGAACTATCTGCCAAAGAGATGCATTAATTTACCTTAGACAGTGTGTAATTGATGTGTTCTGCTCCACATCAACAGAAAGGTCAAGAAAATCTTCATCTTTGCTACTAACCTGTTGCAAAAAATATACATGTAAAACAGAGACTTAGTAAAAATGCCATACATTTATATGCCGTTTATATCTATGTGCAAATGTTAAAGATAGAGCAATTTCTGTAGATCTGAATGACACAAAAATAGTTAATTTCAATGCTTTGAAATTTTTTTTTATTTCAGTGTGAGCAACTCTAACAATCCAGCTTTCATATAATTTACCTACTGTCTGTTCCACTTATCCAAACCCACCAACCATGGACCAATGACTGCAGTCTCCTGCTCATTAAAGGGGGACCATCATCCCCTATATTAGCTGTGACTGGTGCATCATGTATGTTCCCTTGTTACACAAGACAGCCTAGTATCTCATTTTACTGGAATTCTATTTACCCTTTGTATAATACACTACATTACATAATCACAGTTCATGCCTTACATAATTATTTCCACTATTAAGGATGCAATGAAGGTATTTTCCAAATAAAAAAAATATAAGCATCTGTCAAGAAATGTCATATTAAACCATGTTATGTTTTTTCTCCAGTAAGCATTCAAAAGGCTGGCTTTGTATTTCCAGTGGACACATCTTAATTTCTGCATTGAATATTGTTCCTGGTCAAGAATTTTATTAAAAATTTAAAAGATTAAAAATGACAAAGTGATAATATTTTGCAAAATAATTTCATTTTTAAATGGTTTTTTTTAGACAGAACAAGCTGAGAAAAATTCTAATAAAGAGCTCTTATTTTTAAAAAAGTAACCCCAAACATTTTCAGAATTGATTTTTGCTTTGAAAATGATTTTTCATTTGGAGTGTTTAATCTTGAAGATTAAGTAATGTAAAAAAAAGAAATAATCCAAATGGATAATTGCTGTAATACTTAAACTGAGTCAAAAAGACTGCAGAATTACTTACCGCACATGAATTTAGTCACATTTATAACAACCAATTCTGTTTATAAAATGTTGAATGAACCCTCCATATTTTGCCTCCTATGACTATTTCCTTAGAATAAGTCAATCACATGACAGAATCATAGAACGATAGGATAGTCAAGTTCAAATCAAGAACTTCAGTGAAGGGTTGAATCCATTGTTCTGATACAAGTCCCTCGTGCTCCGATTTCCGCCGTTCTATGAATGTGAATGTACCACTTGCAGCTAATCATTGCGTTCTATCAGGGATCCTATAAATATGGTGAATGCAGCCAATATCAGTCCTGAATCCAGAGGAACATCTTTAACAGAATGAATTTTGATATTATCAAAGATGTACAGAGGCATAACATCCACCCAATTAAAATGAACAGCAGTTGTTCAAACAAAAATCCTCCTTGAGACATGATTCGACCCACTGGGGACAGGAAACCACAAAACTGGCAGCAATCAACTGCAGTATAAACATACAGCTAGAGCTCGAAAGATCGAGCAACAAAGCTTGAGAGAACATTGCGTCTCTACAGCTGGAAGTAGAGTTCTGTCAGACACACTGCATACCAAGAAAGAGTCTAAATGCTTGGAAAAGTCTTTGGCAAGTACGGTGTTTCATCTGAACACCACGAAAAAGCTAAAAATTTTGTTATTGATTTCAGCGCATCAAATATTTACTGAAAGGGGAAGATGAGCTATTTGGAGATAGAATACAGAACAAAACCAAAGGCAGCTGGAAAAATAGATTTAGATTGCACTCTGTAAGTGAGAATAAGAACTGCTGGAATCTGAATGGTTCTTCGTGCACTGCATAGGAATATTTCAGCAATGGAACATTTTTTAATCCATTTTACTATTTCCCAAGATTTCAATATACAATAATACAACAAAAAACAAACTGGAAAAGTATCCTGAGTACTATACAGTATTTCTTCATTCACAGGAAGCTAAAAACAAGCCTTCCTACAGCAGTAATAGCCAATGCAATTTTTTTTCATAAAGCTTGGTCACTTTGAATTACAAATAGGGTATTGTGCAGTTTTGCTGTTATCCAAGGACACAGCCTGACTCCAGTACAGTTTGTCTGAGTAAACATTGGATATTAATTTAAAATTAAGCCACAAGCATTTAAAGAAGCTTGTTAGTGAAAAAATAATTCTACCCTTTCACTTATTTTAGCTTACTATTATTACTTGGGTTTCTATAATTGAAAGAGATTGAAGAATTATTTTCGATATCTCTCTCCTGTTTTCACTTATATGAGCTTGTTACAAACTTGGACCAACGCCTTTTTTCATGTTGACTGTCACTGTCTCTCCTTTTCCCCCCCTTTCTGACCCAAATCCCTGGAGAATTCATATTTTCTTGGAGTACAGAGCTATTCTTTATGATTAGAAATATCAGAATATATTCTTTTACACATCTGGCAGGAGCTGGATAGGGTTTATCTCACCTAACTTCAGCTGTCTAAAGTTAGATATTTAACTTCAGCTTGCTATCTGAAGATACCTTCTCTGGGCACTTTCTCCCATCTTAATCCAGATAATCTAAGTTACATTTTTTTAGAGGAGTGTTTGGTAGCAGTACTGGTTTGACTTAGAAATGATTCTTCAGCCAGATCATTTTGCTGGCCCAGCTCACAGCATTGCAGCACCAACAGTTGCAACAGCTCAGCACCACCACATAGCCAGGGCAAGTTGTACAGAGCAGAATACCTGATACTACTAAAAACTTTCTGTTTCATGAAACAGCCTAGAGACAGATGAAGAGATCTTCCTGCAGGAGCTCCTTTGCAATCTCCATCATCTACAGAAAGAGATGAGAAAACTAGTTCATCCTTGACACCTACCTTTTACAATGCAAAGTTTAGGTGAGGTTAATTTTTGGAAAGTCAGTGTGGCTATTCTCCCTAAAATCAATTTTTCTCCTGTCTGTGTTAGTCTCTAACATGGCAACCTCACAGAGAGAAACTTTTTTTTTGCTATTATTTCTTTTCTCTTTAAGTAAGAGCATGTGATTGAAAAGCACAGAAATTGACAGGAGACTTGCAATCAGGTTCCTAACTAAAACTAATTTTTACTTATACTTCAAACATAAGAGACTTCAAACTGACAGCATCCTCTAGAAAATTTTAGGATTGAATTAACACAACTTCATCTTAACATTTCAATTATTCATGGAATAATGACGTGAATATCTTCTCCCAAAGTTACAGTAATAAGGAAATGTATTGATTAACTAGCAAGGATTTTAACTGTAGAGATATGTTATAGAACAGCAAGACTTGGCACAGGTTAGCCAAGTAATGCTTAGAAAAATAAATTTTTAGAAAAGAATATACTCACTTCAAGAAATAAAGTCTACAAGAATATCCACAATTCTCAGATGTCTGAAAAGATTCATATATTTATATATATAAAATGTATCTACCTATTAATGGGCAACAACAACAACAACAACAAAATCTATCCCAATGCTTACGGTTTCACAGTTCAAACATCTAGTTTCGTTAGTCAGTGTTCCCTGAAAAATCTCATGCACCCAGGTGAGTTCTTGTTTATTGTTATCTTCAGCTTCATTCATGTTGCCATTTTTCAGTTTTCCATTTTGCTTTTCCTGCTTCTTCTCCTCCTGCAAAATGTCTGCGATGGTGTTGAGCAGGTAATTTAAAAACTCATGTGCATCCTGCTGCATGTAGTTATCAAAGAGATCTGTGAAGAAGAGAGTCGAGATTTCTCAAGCTGAGTATATCCTTCAAGAAAGCAAACTAAATTCATTATTTCTGTCCAAATACATGTACTGGCCCTTACTCCTTGAAGTATTTAGAATCATGCCAAAATAGAGCAATTTTGCAGTCACGCTGGCTTCAGTGAAGCTAATTTGGGGAAAGGCTTCATCTCACATAACTTTAGCTGTCTGAAAGGTTACACTCTTCTTTCGAGTTGGTTGTGTAGGCTCCCACTACAGTCAATGAAGAAAGCAAGAGGATGACTCATCCTAAATTAATTCCTTAGACTAGATGCCTAACTTTAGGCAGCACTGACTCCCGCCCATATATTCCAAGTCCCTCAGACACATAGGAACATTACAGGAGGTGGCGGGGGGCGTTACTTATTAAGACGTTTGTCTTCCAAAGCAACTCCTATGCATATCAAGGCCCTGCTTTCAAGGATGTGGCTGGAAATCGCCTGTTGATGGGAGGTAGAGAATATATCTCCTTTGGTTTTGACTTGCTTCTGCATGTAACCTTTGCTCTTTTTTTGTGCAAGTTTTTATCATCTTCTTTTCTCCCCCTGTCCTGCTGAGGAGGGGAGGGAGAGGCAGGCTTGGTGGGCACCTGAGAGCCAGCCAAGGTTAACCCCCCAAAAATAGTAATAACAACACCATCTAACAAAGCTCATTTTTCACACACAACTCTGATGAGCAGAGACTTGCCCTCTTTAAGAAGAAATGCTTGCAGGAGAAGGGGAGAATACCTCAGTGATGATTTAGTACAGACTTCTCCAGTGAAGGCTTATTTTGCCCACCATGTTGAAGAAAAAAGAATCTGTGTTCCCAAGTAGTATAGTTTTATCCCCCTGCTCCTGAAAAAGCTCATGTGGATTTCCTCAGAAAATATTGCACAGATCCTTCAGCTTTGCAGTTTCTAGCCTGGACACATAAGCAGGTTAATACACACTGAGTCTGGCCATAATTTAAAAAAGCTGAAAATACAAGATTCAGTCCCTAAAAATTATCCCCAACAGTGTGGGGGCATTTATCATTAGATGAATCAGAACCAACTTTGTTCATTCCAGCACAGGCATTTGAAAGTGTGACAGTCTGCCCATTTATATGCTGTCACCAGGAAGCAACTTCTTCCAGGTGTTTGACTTGTACTTTGTCTCTTCATTCAAAGCTCCCCTGTTTCTAAGCATACCACCCACACGGATATGAATCCAGGCCAAAATGGAGCTGTGTGGCAGGTTTCCTTATTTCAAGATGTTCCTCATATCCCTTAGACAGAACTACTACAAGATTAGGCATGTGCTGTTGCCAACCTAACGCTCAAAAAGGGCCTGATGCTTCACAAAGTAGGACTGTGCCCACAACTTCTACGAACAAAAGCAGCAGTTGATGTGTAGTCCACTGAACACCCCTACATACATACAGTTACCCGTCCTCCAGGGTGTTCTGGGCTGGTGGTGCCTGTAACACTCCTAGGTCACACCGTTTCTGTACTGCCAACTGCCCTCAATGTTTCCCTCTGCCATGCTCCGCAAAAAAATAATTAAAAAATTACAGCAGAATGCCACCCAATTCCCAGCCCTAGCTCACTAGTGCAGCCTGTCCCACCATGCTGTGAAAACATCATTAATTCATGAGCTTTTGGAAACTTATGAAACCTGGTATGGTTATTTCAAGCATACTATCATGTACATAGATGCTAAAATATTAATATCTAGACTCTACAAAGTACTAAAAGTAATTTACAAATCTGATCTGAACATTTGATTAATATGACCACGTTGTCCAATATTTACTTATACTTTCCTGATCCATGTATGAATGTCTAAGAGGATTCCAGTTTTACACTTACCGTTCTCTTTTCGTAACCTTGATATGAACTTTTTTGGTGGAATAACTCCAACTTTCTTCTTCTGAGTAGCAATACTGTGGAAAAGATCTGCCAGGCAAGTCAAGAGATTTTCCTTCTTTTTCTGTTGGGCTTTGTATGATAATACATTTTCCCGAAACGGCCGGCAAAAATACAATGCCTGCAGCACGGAGTTACAGTAGCAGGTGTTCCCAAACTGCCATGTAAAATTAAAAACAACCTTAATCCCTGTGCATCACAATAAAACTAGTTGCTTCATTCAACTTCTGGCTTCTGTGCCACTGCCACATACCAGCCATTTTGCCATGTAGCTCCTGTAGGAATATATTTCCACACCCACCCCTGACACTTCACAGAAAAAACCTATGGTGTTCTAAATTAACTAAGATACAAAGTAAAAGTTTACACTTGCAAGAGATATATTTATTGTAGGGGATCTCGTTAACCTTGTTTCAATATATTAATATACTCTTGCTGGGCTCTATCTTACTGCTTAGTAGCAGAATGACTAAAGTTTTCAATGGAAAGAATTACTATATCTGTTTTATTTATACGGGAATAAACAAGTGATTAAACACCCTTCTCACTCATTCTCTCCTTAGATAAAAAATCTCCTCCTAAGAGAGTCCTCAATGCAAACTGCTGTACCTAAGCTTGTGCAGACTTCTATGACTTCTTCCCTAATGTTTCACAGCTAAAATAGACTTTTAACTTTATTGAAGTGTAAATTCTAAACCCTGAAAACATTAACAGTAAACTGTTTTCTCTGGGGGCGAATGAAGCTATCTTCAAACATCTGACACAGTTTTGCAACCCGCTTTGCCTAAAATTGGAACGTGAACAGCCCTTTTTCAAAAAAAGACAATCCTACATTCGAACAAGATTAGGGGAGGAAATAAAAGAGGAAACCAAACTTCAAGTAACGTCAAAGCCATAGTTCTGTATATGGTTTGCCTCCTGAGAATGGTACTTACATTGACCAATCCAAAGTAGTGTTCATTGATTGGAAACTGCTCTGGGCCAATGTCTTTTTCCAGAGCAGAGGCATTGGTGCCCTATAAGAAAAAGAGGGAAGAAATTATTTAGAAGATTAAGATTCTACAATAAAGTTATGGACAGCATCAAGACAGAAACTCATTTTTTCCTTTCAGCTACAACTAGCCAAGCTAACTCTGTCTTACTAATGGGCAAGCACAATAGTCATGTGAGCCAACAAAAACAATTGTAGTTCTAGGTGGTGAAGTTGGCCTGACCTGGACATTCTAGTAACAGCCGATTAGAAATGAACAGGTCACAACAGCAGTGGTTCTCCCCACACCCACCTCCCCCTTACCTTATTTTTACTGTGTACATGAACAGCTGGATCCCATTACCATCTTGCCTCATAAAGATGCCTGTTGATCTTAAGCAAAACCCTTAAAGTTATCTTGGATAAACCAGATCCCAGACATAAGGAAGGTTTTCTAAGCATTACTGAAACTCCTCTGAATCCCTCCTAATTCGTCAGCAGCCTTTAACAATACTTGGGCTCCAGACTGGCAACCAGTTCTAGTAACAACATCACAAACATTAAAAGCAAGTGTAATATATCTGCCATTTTGTCCTACCTAACATCAGAGTGCATAAGCCCAAGGACTGTTGCATCTCTTAGTCTCAGCCTCGGCATGGCAAGGTATGTTCAGCTGTATCTTCACTCCAACACCAAAGCTGCTTTCACAACCACTGGTCTGTGAAGTACAACCACTAATTTTGTATGTTACCTGTGGCTTTCTTATATTAAAATGCCCATTTTTAAACAAGCTTAGATTACCAAGCAAGCAAGCTAGATTTCTGCCAAAGCAAACGTCATCACTCCTATCCACTCTATAAGCATGTAGATCCCTGCAGGACCTCACAAAAAGCATTCTTGTCCTTGTGTTTGGACAAGTATTCCCTACATACACTTATTCAAGACCTAGCAGCCAATTTTTATTCTGCATGATAATTGCTTTACTAACATCATACATTTATTTCCTTATTGAAAGTATTTATTTCCTTATTGCATGCTCTGCATTGTGAAGAATTAATATATTATTGTAAAGGACTATTCACGTAGTTTTGCAGAAGCTGCAAATTGACTGTTGAGGCTCTGATAAGGCGAAGCCTTGTGATGTCTCAAAGCATTCCAGTTGTAGACTCTAAGCTATATTCCTTGCAGATAAGAAGGGGCAAAGAATACATCGAAGGCCTTACTCCCCTCACTAACAATGGACTTAGTCTTGCTCTTACAACAAATTAGCAAACCCTTGCTGAGTAAGGCCCTGCCTCTGTCTATTAAAGGGGAATACACAAAGAGAAGGGCCTCGCGCCCACCACCTGAGGACTCCTGAGATGCTGACAGACTGATCGAGCAACACCTCCCCTTAAGATGCTGATGGTCATCCAGGGATCCAAGGAGTGGTGATAACTTTCCTCTCTTTCTCTCTTCTCTCCCTCCTTACCTCGCCCCTCCTTTTCTCTTTCTCCTCTCTTATTCTTTTCCTTCCTTTCCTTTTCTCTTCCCTCACCCTTTTCCTCTCCCCTTTTTTCCTTCCGGCTCCCCTCCTTCTCTCTCTCTCTCGCCTGTCTCTGTTTTCCCTCTGGCACATATGGCAACACCTTATAAGTTTTATGCCAGCTTCTTTGGGGCTGTTTTAGCAGGTTTTCCGTAGGTTGTCTATTTTAGTACTGAAAAGTGATTGCAAGTGTTGTGAACAGTTGCGGGTTAAGTGATTGCAAGTTTTACGAGCGGTTGCGGGTTTCTTAGTATTGTTGGAGATTATGCTGTCGTTATCACATCTCTGTAAGATTTGGTGCTGTTGGTGGTTGGTAATGTTGTCATGAATTGTCTTTACCAAGTAATTTGTTTTCTTTTATAATTCTGTTAAGTTTAATGCCAGCTCCTTTTGGGGGCTTGTTTAGTAGGTTTTCATGTAGATTGCTTATTTTAGTGGTGCTTAGTACTAAACCTAGTAATATTGGTAGTTATGCTATTCTTACCCCATTGCTATGAGATTTTAGTATTATTAGTGGATTGTAAAATATTCCTGTATTGTCTTTACCAAGTAATTTTCCTTTTCCCTTGATTTTGTTATACCCCCTCCCCACATTTTCCATTTTCCCTAAGCAATTGCCTGCATTAAAGTTTTAAGTCAGTATTCAATTCTTTGGTGTCGTCTCACCTTAATTTGCCCCAAGGGAACATATACATATAGAACCTCCGTGAACCCCACTCATCCCACCCAGGGTGGTTTTATGAGCTGGGTCGTGACAATTATGCCTTAGAATTTCCATCACACAAGAACAGCACAGCTGGTTGACTTTCATAAAACCATATAAAATACTCTTGTAAACATGCCAACATGTAAAACATCTGAAAATTTCTTAGATTTCCTGTGTTTCTGAGGTTTGTTCAGTATCTCATCTGCTCAGAGACTTCACCAGCTAAAATTTTCAAAGTTACTGGTAATCAAATTCAATCATTCTGGTGTCCCTTCCCCATCTTCTCCCCAAAGTATGATTTGTGTTTCCTTACTGCACCTACCATCACCACTGCTTGCTATATTAGGTTATTACTTCATGTCAACTCATCAAAAGAAGATTATTTTAGTCAACAGAATCAGTGGCGTGAAACTCAACACAGGTGTTCTTTAAGAATTTGCAAACCTTGAAAGTAAAACAGTTCCTTCAAATTGGCAGCTTCCAGAAAAGCTCCAAAGATTTTGTATTTCATATTCCCTTATCAGATCTCTTTGCAGTCTCTCCCTTACTCATAGCTCATTGCTCAGACCAAGTGTATGTGATTTCCCAGACATTCCCTTTGAGACTGAAGTACTTTACCTGCACAAGGCTCCATGTGAAGCTTAAGGAATATGTTATATGTCCTCATCAGGCTCTGTTAAGCCTCAGTGAGAAACTTGGAAAAAGGAATGATCCATACAAAGCAATTATTGGCTACCTTTCGACAGAGATGACAATGTGATAATTGCATAGGGTCCATATGAAGATTAGTTTATTTGCTTGGGAAGTCAGCCTTGACAAAGATACACAGATTCAGCAAAGTATCCGACTTCCTGAGAAGGAGGAAATTGATAGACATTTGCCTATCTGATACTAACAGTGAAGCAAACAGCCACTGTTACCCTCAAAACCTCGTCTGATAAAAGAAAAACATGACTACAGAAGATTAATGCAGCTTCTGAAGAAAACCATCTTCATATTAATACTCATTGTACAGCATTCAGATCAAAGCAAAGGTTTTCTTTGATTACACTTTTAGCATTCCAATCAAGTTCCCTAACATAAAATTAAATGGGTTTTCCCAGTTTTGCAGGAAGTATTTTCCACACTGAAAAAAATTCTCCCTCTAGATTTCATGGAAAGTACTATCTCTAAAAAGTAACCTCCCACTCTTTCATAAACTACAGGTTAGAGTATGCTGTTAGACAAGTAGAATGCAAGTGCTCTGCTAACTAGCTGCTCCTGCCTCACTCATTTGCCTTTCCTCCAGGGCCAGGGTTTCTTACTTCAGAGGATGCCAGATGGTTTGACAAATCCTTTCCAGCATTCAAATTGTCTTGTAAATATTGTGAGAAAGAGCAAGAATCAGGATTTACCAAACAAAATTATCACTGAAACCCAAACAAATCCATGCTATGTACTAACTTATCTTCATATAAAAACTATACATTGCATGGAAATTTCCAAAGTACATGAGTAACAACTCATCATAGAGCTTTACTTCTCCAAAACCAGGCCTTGGCTGTTGCAAATATAAAATGAAGCACTGTGTGCTGGTTTCACAACAAAGCAGAGAGGCTAAATTCAGTCTTTGGGTAAACTGACATAACTCCCATGAACTCCATTAGGAGTTGTGCCTTCTTATATCAAGGGTAATTTCAATCTGATTTATTTTAAGGTCTCCAAAAAGATACTGTTAAATTCACAGTAAAAAAAGAAGAGTAGGAAAATAGGTAAAGAAAAACAGACACCTAATACTTCAAAGTAGGATATATTTCTCACATGGAGAAAAAAAATGTAGACAAACTATTTAGTAAACTCAAAACATGCCACGTTGCATACACATTACGTGTTTTGTGTAGAAAGTCTCCTTAAGAAGCAGTTGACATGATGGCAGAAGAAATGATTGGAAATTTTTCCAACCAAAGTATACCAGAAACTTTACACTCAAGTCAGCTTTAAACTGGAAAAAAACATGTTATTAGAGATGTGTTAAAGATGATTCAGAACTCAGTTTAAATCAACCATATCAAATACAGAAAACGTGCTAGCCCACTGGGGTTAATCTACAGCAAAAATCAACCATGACTATTTAACGTTGTTTTAAGCATCGTTGTACTTCTTCCCATTCTCAGCAAGTAATTTTGGTCACTTCTGCAGTGAAAACCTGCTCAAACATTTTTAATGCAACCATTCTCTATGGTTTTATAAATGGTCCTCTGCTTCATCTAGGAGAAATACCCTACCACAGATGAATCTACTGCAGTTTCATAAAGCACAGCAAGCGGCAGAGTCTGAAATGAGGTGAGACCACGTAAGTCACTGAACTGGAATCTGGGACTATTAAATAAATTCATATCAGGGTATAGAAACAATAAAGGAGACTGGCTGCTTCTTAAAAGAATACACTAAAAAAAACCCAAAGGAAATACAACAAAGTGACTGTGGTGGCCAGACCTTATGAGAATGAGAACTGGGCCAACGTGGAAACTCCTACTATATATTCTGTGGTGTTGGTGAACCTTGATTTCTCTGAAGTTTTACCACTTAATTCAACAATCAGTATTCAGCCCTTATAAAATGTCAAAGCTACAGTTAGAGACATAGCCAAGCATGGGTCAATTCAGGCTAAGCCAAGATTTCTACCACAGCACCCCTCCAAAAATATTCTGGCCATATGACCTATATTTTTTGCTCTTGTTATTTTGCTCTAGGCCTTCCAATGGACAAGTCTGCCAGCTTTCTTTTCAGTTGAAATTTCTGGTAATGTTTTTAAGAATTTAATTTGTGCTTTGCATCACATGAAGCAGATTAAGCAAAAAAACCATCCTGTTTCTTTGCACTTTAGTAGGCAAACAAAATAACAGTGCAGGGGGGAAAAAAAGACATCAGATTAGATAATTAAATCACATGTAGTAAAATAATCTAAATACAATTATTCTACGGAGGATGAGAAATGGTATAGAGCTAATATGAAAGATAATGCAAATAGAAGACAACAAATCAGAGTAAACTTTCTAGTGTGATAGAACTACAAAAAAATGGCACTACCTTTCTGGAAATATGCATTTGGTTAATTTAAAGTAAATGAGTGCAGTAAAGAAATGAGGACATTTCATAATAGGTATCTCCAAAAAAACAGAAACACTGTATGAATAACCATCAAATAATAAAATACAAAATAAGAAATAACAATAAATACCTTGTTAACAAAAAAAATCTAAAAAAAATAAGAAAAAATACAAAAAATCTAATCATGAAACCAGAAATTTAATAAATATATAAAGAACAAGAGATCCATGAAGCAAGGGAGATGGTCCATGACAAAGGGCTTCAGATCATATAGAGCTGTGAACTAGATTTTTTCTTCTCAGTGTTCAGGCAAAGTGAGAGCAATGTGCTAGAAAGAGAGTTGCCTCCTGAAGGGAGAAACTGAAGACCTAAGACAAACCAAGGGTGACGTCTGGGCTGGTAGAAGAGAAATTAGAATAAAAATAGAAATGTCTTCAGGGCCAGGCAGCCTGAGTGTCAAGATTTTGGAAGGCACAACATACAGGAGAAAAGGGAAAAAGAAGGTAAAGAAAGATGTGGAAGGACTCCTGGCCAGAAAATGGCAGTGATGGATAACTCAAAAGAAAGGAAAGAACTGTAAACAAAATACAAACTTAGCTCCCAGAAGCAGCTTAAGGAAAATGACAGTAAGAGAAGAGCAAGAGCAAGCATTACCTCACCATGCAGGATATATGCAACTGCTTTCAATAGACACATCACCTGTCCTTGGTGTTGGCCTTCAACTATCCACAGGGACAACCTCAGTTTTCAGAGAGGGATGGGGAGTAATCAGAATAGCTGAACTAGCCTTCTTCAAAACTCATAGATATGAAATGTCAAACCCAAAATGTTTCTGTAGTTTTTAAAGTGTAATTCCCACAAGATGGTTGAATTTAACCAGATTAGCTCCTTTTTATTTCTGCAATAACACTCTTATTTAGCACTGCAAATATTCAGGTTTCATAGAGGTAAAAGTTTTTCTTATATACCTCTAACCTTCGAAAGTCCCATTCTCACACGGGCTTGTCATAGCTCCTCATACAGACCAATGAGTTCAAGTCCACCACCTCATCTAAGTGAACACATTTTTGGAGCCATAATGCACTGTTACCAATGCTCACAATAATTTATGTTTCTCTTATAGCTCCAAATTCCTGTAGCTTTCTGAAAAATCTCAGCTTTTTTTCCTAAAAGAATTTACAGTCCCTGTGGGCTTCCAGAAAAGACTAAATGTGACCAGCACAACACAACATCTCTAAAAGCTGAGTACACAGACCTCAAAGAATACGTAGCTTTAAAATATCATTATCATTAAACCAACTTCTCCTTCTGTCACAGTACGGGTACCATGAGCTAGATCTGCCTTGAACTATGAGCCCTTGCATGCTTTTTCTGCCTGAGGCTCTAATTCTTCCTTTCAGTCTCTCCATTTCTCGGATGCCAGTTTTGCAGGCTATACTGGCAGTGACAGCTGAGCAGCACACCATTAGAACAACTTCATCTGTTTTGCTGTGAATCTGTTCAGTCTTTGGGAGAAGTGTACCGCACATAAGCGCATCTGTCTGAAGCACATGAAAGAAATCATTAAGGCCCTAGTACTTCATGCTAATGCTAAAGTCTTACAAACACCTAAGAGTCTCCAGCTCCCCTTCATGCGGTACTCTCTTTATGCAGTCTGCAGGGCATCACACCCACCATTCATCAGCAATAAAAACTGGAGCCTGCCCCAGAAGGAAAGTAAGGGTGCCCAGGTTTCCTCCTGTACTGTTTCCTAAACCTTTCTTTGCAGTATCCCTGGCCCACTGGCCCACAGGACTGCAATTATTAAGAAAAATGAAAAGTTTAGAAAACTACATACTGCTGGTGAAGAAAGGTGAGCACCCAGATTATTTCACCCCAAATCTGGATTTTGTGTGAGCTTTCTTAATCCCAAATCCAACCCTCCCTCTCTGCATTTCAGAGTAGGCGTTTTGAAGGGAGGACTGAGGTTTAAGTCAGAACTATGTGTGAGATGCCCTGGGCATCTGGTTGGAAACAAAAGAGCAAGCCCACTTAAGTGGAAGCGTGGCCATGTGGAAGGGGAGCAGGTTTGCAATCCGCACTCCCTCCCCCAGACCACTGCTGCTGACCCCGCAGGAGCCAGGCTCTGGGGCTGCACCTGTTGCCTTCCCCTAGAGGTAGGCTCCATTCTCCAGGGCAGATGAATGGTATGTGTGGCATCACCAGCACAAGGCATGCTGGGGCACCACATGGAGGGAAGCTGGCAACTGCGTGTAGCTGCTCTTGAAGAACCTGGAAACAAGGGGGAAAAATACAGACTAAAGCAACAAACTGTGCAGAAATAGGCTTCTCTTCTGTTTGCACTGGGGTGCTTAGCAAGTGCTTTGGCAAGTTAATTACTGCCTCACTATATTAATAAACCTTTGACAGACAACGTTTGAGCTCTCCCTTCCCCCACCAAGAAGTTTCAAAAATCTAAATCCTATCAGATGCTGTAAATTTGTTGGGATGCAAATCAGAATCAAGCACAATACAGAAAGTATCCTTTCAACTGTTCCTAGGGAAGAAAGTGGCAAAGTCTAAACATAACAAACCAAAATATGAATGTTTCCTTATTCCTGTCTTATTGCTTAGTCTGATTTAGAGAAAGCCAAGTGATTCAAGAGTACTTAGCAAACAGCAGTCCTCTCTGAGTGCATGCAATGCAAGCTAAACCCTCTTGTTAGCTCTGAAGCAGAGACTTCCTAGAACAAGTACCTGGCATCGGGATCCAAAAGCGTATCATCAGGCATCTAAACACTCTCGTTTTCTGTGTAACCTGCGTGGCTCCCGGCCCCATGAGACCACAAGGCACCTGCCTGAGAGGGTTAAATGGGGTCACTGGCTTAATGTGGATTCAGAGCCCAACTTTGGGGTCCTTTTGCAGGACTATTAGTGCAGGAGGAGGAAGGGCGGGCTGCTGCTCCGCCTGCACCGGCCAGGTGCAGCCCAGCTCCCGAGGGTCCCACACCAGCTCAGCATCTCCGTCCTTCCCCGGCCGGCTCCCGGGCTGCCCCGGAAAAACTCCCC